TAAATAGGTCCCATATTTAGGTAGCAAAGAGGTGCCCTCTCTTCTAAACTGTAACTCTTTGCCAGCAGAAAAGAGCACATGCAGTCTTCTGCATTATAAGTAAAGTCCAGACGCACAGCCTGCCCTTACAGATGCTGCATGGTCCGCTCTGCTGTGGCCCCCACGTTTGTGTCGCCCAGATTCCTGCACTGGAACCTGATCTCCATGCTGATGATCAGTGGGGCCTTGGGGAGGTGATTCAGTGATTACAGCAGAGTAGGGAATGCAGGATTGGATTGGTGCCTTAGTGGGGCTGGGAGACCAGAGTCCTCCCATCCCACCATGTGAGCACCCAGCTTCCCATCTTGTAGGCCCCATCCGTGCACCAGAAAGCCAGCCCTCGCTAGACACCTAATAAGCCAGTGCCTTTATCTTAGAGTTCACTGCCAGGACTAAGAAATGAGCTTCTGTTGATTATCATTCACCTCATCCACACTATCTGGCCAGAAATCTAACATATTTCCATCCACCTTCCCAAAACCCCTTCACACTACAGCCCCCACTGAGCAGAACACTTGCAGGACACAACCTAACATTTTGCCACCAAGCCATTGTTCAGCAGTTTCCATCGCCCAGGAGATTACAGTTATTTTCCTACTTCACCTCTTTGCTAACCCCTCCTGTGCCTCTCTCTCTTTCTCAGAGGGCATTTGATGAACCATAGTCTTCTTGTCTTTATTCCTTCAAAGTGGCAACAGCCTCGGGCCTGATTGTCTACCCTGACTGGACAGAACCAGCAAACACCCCTGGAGCAGCCCAGGTCAGCGGGGAGGCAGGAACTGAGACCACTGCTGCCTTGGCACTGGGGTGGGTGCCGTCTGCCCTTGTGTGCCACGTTCCCTGGATGTGCTCACTGGAAAAGAAGCTCATGACATCCACAGCAGGTGGAGTTGAGAGTGGGTCACGGCTGGCAAATCCCAACCTACCAAGGGCGGGACGGAAGAGCACAGAGTGAGGGGTGAGCATGGGCAGCAGAGTGAGCTCACGCTGAGGGGAGCGGACCAAGGTGACCGGGCCACCTGAGCAGCTGTGGCCAGGGAGAAAGCCTGGATCCTGTCTGTTCTGGAAGTCAGATGGGCACCCCATGGGGCCCCCCATGACCTAGAACAGTGCCCTGTGCCACTGTCAGAGCTTTTCTGGGTCACACAATAAAGGAAGCAACTGGCATTTGCAGGAGACAGTCAGGGGGCCCTATTTATTCCCCCACCGACACATGCACAAATGTTCTGGAGCTCTGAGGACAGGACCCGCTAGCTGTCAGCATTTGCGAGCTGAGCCCTGAGGGAGCCAGCTCTCCATCAGCAATGTTCCCAACAGCGGTGTCCCAAGGCCATGAGGGGCTGTGGACATGAATCCACACTAGCAAGGCCCTTGTGTCAGCAACTGCCTCCTGCCAGACCCACCGCTAGTGACTCAGAAGCTGATGGCTGTCCCCTGCCCCTGGGGTGGGTTGGAAATGCCACTTCTGGGCCTTGCACACACTGATGCTGATGTCACCAGCCTGGGGAGACCCTGGCATCTCCCACAATGATCTAACTATGCAGCTAAGCTGAAGAACAAACTCTGGTTTCTCACGAAACCCAAGCCCCCACCCTAGATGTTTGGACAGAATCTTTCCACCGTGGTCACTTCACTTGGGTGGCTTCCAATATCTGGGGCCCAGGGGTGCATCTAAGAGTGGCCATACAATACGAACAGGAGGAATGTCTGGATCTAATGCACTCAGCACATCCTGCGTTTGTCTTCCCAACCTGCTTTCTGTTTTGCTTTTACTTCCTTGCAGTTTTGTCCTTCAACAAACTGCACTCACATCCAAGACACACTCTCTAACCTGTTACCCTCCCTTTGTGTTCAAAGTCCAAGCTGAGTATGACCTCACTGAATCTCAAAATATCCCTGCAAGAGAGGGAAAAGGAGTCAGGCCTTTGTTCCCTAAGGCAAGTCAGCAACATCTGGGTTGGAAGAGGTTCCACCTGACCCTGGCATGTACCCATGTCCTGATGGAAGCCCAGGGTCCAGAACAGTTTCCGATTCCCAGGATGTTTCCCCTATATATTCTCATGGAGTCTTACAGCCAGTCTGTGGGGATTGTATTTTCCTAACCAAAGTGACCACACCTCCCGATTTGCTCCAAACAACCCTGGGTTACACCCACTGTCTCAGAGGAAGTATTGGTAGCACCTCCTATCACTCTCAAAGGCAACGTGGTTTGGACAACAAATTGTGTGCTCGCCTTGTTTGAACCACTCTCTTGTTTTAAGAGGGGCACACTAAGGCTCACACAAGTTAATTTGTTCAGAATCATTTAGCTAATTGGAGGTGGAAAAAAGACTTGAACTCAGATCTTCTGTCTCCAAATGTCTGGCCCATCTAGAGGTATTACGGAACATTAGAATCAGAGCTCCCCTGAGCTAACCTTTCTTATTAAAGATGAAAAAGCTAAAAAGTGCAGGGAAACCATCTCTTCAAAGTCTCCATCAGAATGCTCCCTGAAGGGGCCTGAGCCTTGTGCTTAGCAGTCTCCTTGACAACATCCTATGAAAACATCCATACAGATTAGTAAATTACACAACATTGTCATCACAGTGTTACTTGAAAGCTCAAAACTGGAAATTGAGTCTGAGCTTTGAGATTTGAGGGCGAGTGTGAATGCTGTTTGCCCTCTGCCTTGGGGCATTTCCCACACCCTCTCTGAGCACACCAGCTGCTCAGACATAAAGTGGGACCAACCAGTGTTCTGTTCTCAGTTCCCTGGACCATCGCTGGAGGGCAATCGAAGCTCCCCGGATGTGCTGACAGCCTCTGTCTCCAGAGGTCCCTGTGAGTCAGCTCTGTTTTGCTCATTTCTCACACCAGTGAAGCAATTCTCATAAATTGGGATGCTGGGGACCAGTGAGATAAGATATAGGAACATGCTTCCGTGGGATCCCAGTGCTGCCTGTTGCTGTTAGCACGGGAATAGCAGTAACAGGTAGTGACTCTGCGTTGACCTGAGAGAAGGTCACTCGCCCAGCAAAGTCCCTGGGTGATCATGATGTGGAATGGTGGACCCAGCAGGCAGGCTGAGCTGTGGGTGCTTTCAGTAACCCCATCTCGACACTGGGTGGGGCCTGCTCCCCCAGGGAGACATCTTAGAAAGCACCTCAGCCACCCGACACCATGAGCCAGGGAGGCCTTTCTTTCTATAGGAATCATAGCTCTCATAGCTCAGAGGAACTCCAAGCCCCATACATGTCTGATTCTGGAAATCAGGATGCTGCTTCCCTAAAATGACACAGTCCAAGTCCTGGATGGCATCTTTATTTCACAATCTTTCCAGACTTTATTAGTCCCTGTAAATGGTAACAAGAACCAGAAGCTCAAGCAATGGGAGGAGGGGAATCAAAACTGCTTTCCTCTCTTAACTGTTTTTGTTCTCCCCATCAATCTGGCCTTTGAGCAGCCCAAAGTCCGGCCTGGCTCTTGTGGAGTGCTTTCCTTTAGGGAACAAAGCAAATGGCAACATGGGGCATTTTAGAATTCTTTGAGGTCACGGGAGAGCTGAGCAGTGAGCTTTTCATATAAATGGATGAAATCTCCCAGGCTGCCAACCTGAAATTCCAAGGTGTGGGCAGAGTTGGTCTCTTTGCCTAGCACCCCTAGTAGCAGGGCAAAGGGCTCCTTGGGCTCTAAAGAACCAATTTGTGTTTCAAATACCTGTGGAACTTGACACCTGAACGCCACCTACTCCCAGGGAATCTGAGTAAGTCCTAGAACAGCTTTCTTAAGGAGAGCAGCAGACTCCTGTATTGTGAAAACTCTGCCTATTCACCCTCTGGGCTGCAGGCCTGGACTGTGGGGCACGCGGTACCCCCTTCCTGCCCACTGTAGTCCAAGGCTGCCCAGTCCCCGGGGAAAGGACATCAGCTTCTTTCATTCCCTGGGTCTACAGATCCTGACCCAAGGGGAGATCTGGAAACCAAAGCAGTGTCACTAAAGGACTGTGTCATTTGCAAAAACAAACATAATGACTGTAAAACCCAGCAGACAAAATTTAACACCCCCTTTCAATAGACTGCGACAAGGTGACGGAACAGTCTGCAAACAAAAAAGTCACAATCAATTTTCTATGTTTTTAGGTGGACAAAGAGTGTTATCAGGGTGGATGGAGAACTCCAATTTTCTGCAAAAATCCATTGAACTGGCTTGCAGATATTGATGACCTGCAAAAAGCCATACCCTCTCGGTTCCAGGAGAGCAGGTGCCCTGTCCATCCAGCCAGGAGGACCCTGCAAGGCTCCGGGCACCTTGTCCCGGCTTTCCCAGTATTTCCAGGAAAGCTCCTTCCAGGGCTCTGTCCCCAGGAAAGGACTGGGCTCCGAAGCCTGATGACGCCCCTCCCCCGCTGGCTCCTCCCGAGCTCAGGTTTCCAAGGCGGTAGGGGCAGGAGCCTGATCAAATGTTCCCCCGTCACACTCCGGATGGCCTGTCCCTGTCCCCTCCTGCAGGTGAGGATGCAGTCGCCTTCAGGGCCTTGGCGTGACAGTGAGCCCATCCCCGGCCCGGCGGGACTGTGACCCGGGTCCTAACGGAGCGCAGCACGCTCAGCCAGTCAGGGAAGAGAACAACTTTGTCCTCTTCCCTTTGCTTTCAGTGGCTCTGCGTGGAAGTGAGAAAAAGGGGTTAAGACATGTTACTATTGCTTAGCCGACGTAGATCCCGCTGGTACAAGTCCCCTCTCTGGGTTACCCGAGGCGTCCGTGGGGACCCTGCCTTGGGACCCATCCTGCAACCACCTCCTCAGGACCACAGACACCTGCTGGTCGTCCCCCACTCTAGGAGCGGGTGACAGCGAGCGCGGAACACCGCGAGGGGATCCGGGTTACGCGTTGGGGGTGTTTGCAGGTGTCACTGAGGCGTGGATCTGGGTGGCACCTCAGGGTCTCCGCAAGGGCACTGTGGGTGGCCGGTCCCCCTCCTACCTTCACGAATAGCTCAATCTCAGGGTCCCTGTCGTCCCCGTTGGCGGTCACCGTGTCCGTCATGCCGACGCCCCGTCCCGTCCCCGCGCGTGTTTAGTATCGTGTTTTAAACCATCCACTCCTGGACCCTCGGGCGGGTACGCGCGGGGGCAGCGCAGGGTAAAGACGGTGACGGTGACAAGTCCGGAGCAACAAGTGCAGCGGCGGCAGTGTCACCAGATCCGGACTGTCAGCAATCGAGCCGCCAGCCCAAAATAGCCCCGGCCGGGGGCGGGGTCAAGGGGGACCGGCTCCACCACTGCCCGACAGGGACAGAGCCGCCACCCCGCTGGCCGGAGCGGGTGCTGAGAGGAGAGGAGAGCAGAGGCAGGGACCCGGGCACTCAGGAGAGATGGCTTTCCAGTTTTAAATGACCCCTTCCCCCAGTTCAGGGATGAACCCGGGGCTTTGACACTGAGCTACACTCTCAACCTTTTATTATTATTGTTATTATTTTAATTTTTGAGGCAGTGTCTTATTAAGTGCTAAGTTCCCCAGCTGACTGGGCTTGGTCTTATGATCATCCTGCCTCAGCCTCCCAAGAGTGTTGTAAAGTTTTGTGCCACTGGCTCCCACTTTGGAAAGCTCCTCCTGTCTTATTTAGCATGTCCAAGGCAGGAAGGGGCCCTGAGAGGTGAGGAAGTTGGAAAGGACCCGCCATAGGGGAATGGCACTGGGAGAGGGGACCAGGCACATGGGGGCTTTGTAGTCTGCTGAGCAAAGAAGAGTGCAGAGCCGGCTGGTGGAAAGACAGAGGGGTGAGTCACCTGTCAGTGGACCCTCAGCAAGGGAGCAAGGGACACGGCCCCTCCTATTCTTTCCTTTCTACTGTTTCTACAGGGTCACGTGATACACATGCAGCATACACACACACACACACACACACACACACACACACACCCCACAGGTTCACACTTCAGAGAGTTTCCCCCACCTGGCCCCACCATGCAGTGAGCAGCAGATGAAGAAATGCCCCCCACTCTGCTCCCCAGAATCCCCCAAGGATAAGCAGCGTCCCCACTGGAATCAGGGCCCACTCCTGTCTCCTCTGCCTGGGTCTTGGCACTGCGCCTGCTGCGAGTCAGCCTTCTGCCGGTGACCTGGGTAACGTGTCGTGTGTCGTGTTTGCACTGTGGCCATTCACCTATCTGTTCTTCTGCCGAGGGGCACCGTATGGAATCTAGTTACAAGCCCCGTGGATATTTGCGTGATGAACGTTCTCTCTGCCAAATATTCTTAGGTTGGATCCACAATCCTTTTCTCTTGGAAATACGCCTGGGGTGGGACTGCCAGATCCCAGAGTGTGAGGGTGTTCCAGACAGAGTCTTGTTATGTATGTATTTCAGTCTGGCCTCAAACTCACAGTGATCCTCCTGCCTCAGCCTCCCAAGTGCAGGGACTACGGGTGTGTGCCACGACGGCCGGCCAGAGTTTGTTCTTGTTACACAGCACTGAAGGGGTTTCTAAAGCACTGATGCCCGCTCACATTCCCATCCTAGGGATCTCTTAAAAACAGTGGCTCACTTTTTGCAATCAGAATCTGGTCACCTTCTCTGTTGCTTTTGCCTTCTCTTCAGTGAACTCTGTGCTTCGCTTTGCATTATTAATAAATATGTTTTTGTTCCACTGTTTTATGAAAAAATGAATTGCTTAATAAGAAAAATATATAATAGCACTTAGGATGTGCCGGGCTAATGTGCTAAGCACCTTACATGTCTCAACTTGTTTAATCTTTTACAAGTAGTGTTATTCAGCTGATTTTACAAGAGGGGAAACTGAGGCATGGATTACTGAAGTGACTTGTCCCTCATCGTCCAGCTCAGAAATGGTAGTCAGGATTCAGGTGTAGTGAGGCTACTGAGCCTATAGGCTCAATCCCTCCACCAGGTGACTCTCTCTCTCTCTCTCTCCTCTCTCTCTCTCAGACTTACTGTACCATGCCTCTTCTGGTACAGAGGCTATCCTGGTCTCATGGAACATACAGTACATGTCAGGCTGACACCACATGATAGAGAGACCAGGGTTGTCATGGGATAGGGCAGATGGTGGTGCTAGAGTTTGGATATGAAATGTCCCCAGGGCGCATGGGCTAAAGGCGGCATGGTGGCCAGCCCACAGCACTGTTGGCAGTGCTGGCACCTGTGGCAGGAAGTTGAGCACGGGTGCACACACTCTGGGAGGACTATCCTCTCTGTCTTTTTGTAGGCCACATGGTAAATGGGGTTCCTGCACCACAGCTCCCCCATGACACCCGGTGCCCCCACAGGCCAAAGCAATGGGGTCAATTGGTCATGGATAGAAACTGCCAATATCAAGAGCCAACACAAACCTTTCCTCTTTTTATGTTGACTCATCTCAGATGTTTCTGTCACACCGATGGCATGCCAGCTAACGCGGACAGGCCAAGTAGAGATACCGTTCACCACAGCGAGATGGGGAAAGATAGAGCTCCTCAAATGGGTCCGTGTCTGATCAGTGAAGGCAAAGCATCCTGAGCACCATGCATGCAGCCTGTCCCCCCACAGCCTCCACATGCAAATGGTCCCCGCTCACTGAAGAAAGCATCTCCAAGCCCTCTTGCATGCAACCTCCAGGGCACTATAGCTCAATCAAGGTGAGGTGTATTTGCTCACTGCCTCTTTGGTTTCAGGCTGACATCACCAAAGCCTTTAGATAGACAGTCACCTCCACAGCCTGCATTCCTAGCCAGTGACAACATGCTAGAGAAGGACCAAGGTGACAGAGGGAGATGGTGCCTCCCTGCATGAAGGCCAGGCTCATCCTTTCCCTGCGCTGGTGTGTGGACAGCATCTTTAATAGCAGTGTAGTAGGAGCAAATAAAATGATAGGCACGAAAGACATTTGGAGGCATTTAAAGGGACAACTTCTTTAGCGGAATTTTAGATCATTTCCTTGGCCATGATCTGAGCATTGTGTGGCATGACCTCTCTTTCCTTAACCTCAAGATCGACAGAGCTGACTTTCACTATTGTATCCTCTCCACATATCTACTACTAACTGGAAAGTAGAAAAATCTCCTTCTAATCACGATTTCCTGAAAATATCTTCCATTTGGCCATCCCTACATAACTGATACTTTTTATAGTATGAACCCTCTTGGTGCAGAAATGAAAGAAGGAAAGAGAAGAAGGGAGGGAGGGAGGGAGGAAGGAAGGAGGTTGAGAGGGAGGGAAGAGAGGAGAAAGGGAGGAAAGAAAGAAGGAAAGAAAAAAATCTGCTTTGGCCACCAACTATTTCTGTGTGTATTTCTAGTTTTAATTTCATATTATGCCTTGGTTCAGGATAAAAAGATCTAATTTAGCACTATTTACTGTCAAAGCATAAATGATTAGAGTCAATTCTAGTTTTGTCTGTAATGCTAATTGTAGTGCACAGGTTTACAAACTTGGTGCGAGTTTCAGAAAAGTCTTTACCAAAAAAGCACTGCACATGTTTTCTGCTTACTTGGCAGCAGGTATGATAAAATTGGCATTATACAGAGAAGGTCAGCATTGGCACAACAAAAGGGCAGCATGTGAATCTGCATAAAAGCCATAGTTTTATGTGATTGTTGAAAGCAAGAGTGAGCCGGAGGTTTAGCTCAGTGGTTCCACCGCCTACCTTGCAAAAGCAAGGACCCAAGTTGGATCCCCTGTAGCAAAAAAAAAAAAAAAAAAAAAAAAAAAAAAAAAAAAAAAAAAAAAAAAAAAAAAAAAAAAAAAAAAAAAAAAAAAAAAAAAAAAAGAGAGAGAGAGAGAAAGAAAAAGAAAAAAGAAAGCAAGAATGATACCTCACATGGGTTTTGGTATATTTAGGTTCCATAATATGACAACTGTAACATACTGAACAAAGTATAAAGGGATGTGAGTAGTTACAATTTTCTTCACTGGAAATAGTAAAGGGCTAATATATGCATACTGAGAACTTAGATACACCTATTGTAACTCCCCAAGATAACTATGTAAGTTATACAAACAGATGTTGTAAAAGCAAAACTCATAGTTAAGTTGAAGTAGAATGGTGAGAAATATTCAGACAATGTAGAAGCCAGGAAAGGGGGAGCAAGAAAAACTGCAAATTGAAAGTAAAACAGGAGCCAGACTCAGGGGTACACACCTGCAGTCCTAGCACTTTGAAGGCTGTGATGGAAATGTCACAGGTTCAAGATCAGCCTGGGAAATGTAACAAGACACTGTCTAAAATAAAATTTAAAAAAAATAGCTAAATCCAACCATATCAACACTTAATGCTAAATATAAAATAAATGCGTCAACTAAAATCTGGAGATTGTTGGATTGGATAGAATAACAACTACACAACACTTAACTGTATGCTGTTACAAAACTCAGTTCAAACACAAGGATATCAAAAAATGAAAAACTAAATGGATTGGAAAGGTAACCCTGCCATGCAAACATGAATCAAAAGAAAGCTAGGTGGCCATGTTAATATCAGCTGAAATAGACTTCGGAACAAGGAAATTAGCAGGTATAAAGAGAGATATTTCCACCCACCAAAAAACAATACAACAACTTTAAAATGTGCAGGCATCTTCAGTATAAAGCAAAAGCTGATACAACTGAAAGGAGAGAGAGAGACAGACACACAGGTATAGTTAGAGATTTTATGTCTCCCCAATAGTATTTGTAACCCAAGCAGACAAAAAAAAAATCAACAAAAACACAAAGACCTAAATGACACCATCAATCAACTTTACATAATTAACATTTATGGGATAGTCGACCAATTCAGAAATAAAATATATGGTATTTTAAGTGTACATGGAACATTCACCAAAATGGGCCATATTGTGGCTCACAGAAAAAGCTGTTAAATTTAAAGTAAAATCTCACAACGTGTTTTCTGACTGTAACAGAGTCAATTACATCAATTTAGAAATTAAGCAACATTCTTTAACAAATTCATTGATCGACACAAAAGTTGCAAGTATTGTCTTGGTCATTTTCTTTCTCATGGGAACAAAATACCTAATGCCCACAAAATAAATGAGGAGAGGTTTACTTTGTGTCGAATTTCAGAAGTTCCAGTCCATCAGCAGGCTGAGACACAGAAATAGCAGACAGAAGGTTCTGGACAGAGGAAAGCTGTTTATGGTATGGTGGACCGGAAGTAGAAAGAGAGGCAAGGGAGGAGCTGGGGTGATAGAGAAAACTCTTGAATATAGCAAAAAACCTAAAAAATTTCACAGTGTAGAATAGTTTCTGCTATCTCTGACAGCAGTTTACTTTGTTTAGTTCAGAATTAACAGACACTGGAGGCATCAACCACTGAAGGAGGCATCTGTTCTCATCCTGAGATATCAGGGCACATAATCCCCTCATCTTCCAAAAGTTCCACTTATGAGCCCATGAGGCCCCCAGGTTACATCTAGATATAAACCGTAACAAGCATAATATGAAAATATTTCAATATTGAGATTAAAGGTCTCAAAAAGATTTCACTGAAAGAAATTATAAAAAGGAAACCCATCTCTACATAAAGCAAGCAAAAGGAATAAAATAATAAATACAAGAACAGAAATTAATAAAATTTAAAACACTTAAAGCAACAGAGGGAAGCAATGAAATCAGAAGTTTTTTTTTATAAAAGATCATTAAAGAAGATAGAAATCTAGAGGTTTTACCAAAATAGAGGTGATATATGTTACCAATTTCAAGTACAAAAGGTGAGCTATTGACCATAAACCCCAAAGGCCTAAAAAGATATTAAGGAAATACTAGAAACAATTCTCTAAACACAAATTGGACCATGTCACTCAAATAGTCAAAATCTTGAAAGACACAAGCTAACAAAACTCACCCAAGAAGAAGTAGATAACATGAATAGTCATATCTATCAACGATATTAAATGCATAGTTAAAAACCTTCAAACAAACAAATGAAAACCTCAGGCTCTAGATGTCTTCATTAATGAACTCTACCAAGAGTTAAGGAAGAATAATAATTCTATATAATCTCTTTAAGACACAAGCAAAGAAAGAAACAAAGGACTTGTATTCAGGATTTGTAAATAATTTTCACAATTCAAAGATTAAAAAAAAGAAACCAATTTTAAAAAATAGGCAAAAGAACAGAACAGACATTTTACCAAAAAAAAAAAATCACTGGTAAATCAGCACATGAAAATATATTCACCATCATTCAGCAGAGATATGTAAATCAAAAGGGTGAGACTTCAGTATGCCCATTACAATGTTTTAAAATCTGTACACCTTCCAGTCCCACATGCTGGCAAGAATTCAGAGCAACCATACAACTCTCCTCCATTGTTGGCAGGATTGTGAGATCATCCTGGACAATAGTTTGGATATTGTGTATAAAGCCAAAGGTACCCTCACTATACAATTCACTTACTGTGCCCTGGGCATTCTTCTAGAGAAATGAAAGGTTTTACTTTTATAAAAGTCTGTATATGAGTATTTACCGCATTATTAGTCCTGATTCACCAAACTGAAAACAAGCCAAGAGCCCTTCACTGAGTAAATGAATAAACACATTGGAATACATCCAAACAATGATAGGCCGCTTTGTAAACAGGAAGGAACAATCTGGTAAGAGGTGTAAAGCATAAATAAACCTCAAATGCACAATACTGGGTGGCAAAAGCCAGTCCCAAATGCTACATTCTGTATAGCTTAATTTCCATGACATTCTTCAGGAGAAAAAAAAGAAAGAAAGAACATTCAAGGTGGAGAGAGAACAGTGGCTGCCCCGGCTGGGTAGGGAAAGGTTTGTTTGCAAAGGGCGACCGGAAGTTTTCTTAGGGGCTAGAACTGCTTGTGTCCTATTTGTGTGGTGGTTACATGCATTTGTGTATGTCTTAAAATGTTCAGAGCTTCATCAGAAAATCATGAGTTGTCTGTGTGTAAATCTTTAAGGTGATCAAAATTCTTAAATAATTGCGAACACCGTAAAGCCATCACTTGTTGCTCCGTATCTCTTTTCTGTGCATTTTGTGCTGTCTCTCATCTTGTCATTAACTTCTGAAAGGTGAAACAGTCATTTAGTCCATGAGAACTGAGGTTCCTAATGACAGCCGGTCAGGTAGAAAACAAAACAGAATGAGCATATTTAGACTGTGTGTGTGTGTGTGTGTGTGTGAGCACACGTGAGTGTGTGGATGATGCGAGTGTGTAGACTGATGTCGTGATGCTCCCGCTGGGGAGGTGTTCTAGACGTGCTCCTCAGACCCAGCACGGAGCACAGCACACCCCAGGTCACAAGCCCAGTTTCTGTGCTCCTGGTGACACGAACTCCGACTCACTCTGCTCAGGGTAGAGCTGTTATGTTTAGGAATTAAACAAGGCTGTCCTGCCTTACATTCTCCACAACTCTCTGGAAATCGAAGGACTTGAGGTTAAGCTGAGGGAATTGGTGCCTTTTGATGACAACTGCCTTAAAGCAAGGTGTATCGCATCGCTGTGGGAGGCGCGTGGCGAGTCCCGAGGGATCACATCTTGACGAGGTCGCAGCTGGGGACATGAGGGGACTGCGGTCGATCACTGTTCTCTGTATTCCTTTGTCAACTGATGTGCCTTGAGTGTCCCCAACTTTATTGGGGATCTCTATCCCCACAGCAGTGGACCTACTGGTGCTCAGCTGAGGGAGAGGCTGGGATCAAAGCCCAGAGCCATCCACAGCCATCCTTGGGGACTTGCACTCATGTCACACAGATGCCTGCTGTGTGCCAGACACTGCATGTGCTCGTCCTTGACGCTCTGTGAACATGCAGGGTGCCTGTCACCTGCTGGTGACCAGGAGTCTTAGTCTTCTCAGTCCCCAAATCATTTAGCCGTGGGTTGGGTTATGTCTTGCCCATGGGAGGGCAACCTCCTGGAGGTCAGGAATCCAGCTCTGTTTCTTTCCCGTGATCTAGCAAATGTCAGGGTCCCTTATTGCGTCCTTGTAAGCAGACTGGTAAGGTGCTCAGCACGGTAAATCACTGTCAATGGAATGAATCATGAGCAAAACATTGGCCTTCTTTTATTCACCCACCCCCATTTGAGTTTATCTTCACATCAGTGGCGTGGGTATTACACAGTTTTTATAGATTCTGATTTGAACTAAAACTTAGCAAAAGGTTATGAAAGAATAATAATAATAATAGCATTCACTAAGAGTCTGCTGGAAGCTCCAAACCCCTTACTTCATCTCTGTAATAGCCAGATGAGGTAGTGTTATTTGTCCACTTTCACTAATGGGGAAGCAGAGCCTTAAAGAGATGAAGTAATTTGCCCAAGCGTAATTACAAACAGCCTCGGTGCTCTGATTTCCATCGTTATGGCTCATGCTATTAACCACGTGGCTTCCTGTGTGTGGGGACAGGGGCGCAGCTGGAGGAGGTATGCATGCCACAGACACCTAGAGGCTGCCTGTGGAATTGGTGGGGTCAGTGGATGGCTGGCTCAGGATAAGGAATGGGCAGGCTTGGAAAATCTAGGATTCTGCTTCAGGAAGAGAGAACTAGGGATAAACTGAAGACAGGAAACGCCGTGACCAAGTGATAGCACACAAAGATTAAAAAATATCCAGCCCTAGAGAAA